CCGCACAGCTTGGGCCCCCCCCCGAAGGACTGAGGGGCAACGATAGGCGGAGACTGGCATAGCGGGTTCCTGGGCAGGTTGGGGATATCGGGCCCCTATCGGCGATCAGTGGGCGATTGGGGGTCGATGCATCCATCCCCACCTGAGCCCATCCCCAAATTGTTTTCTGGCCGTAACTCGGCTCTCTGGCGGCCGTTCGGGACGATCCATACACCCCCAGAACACCCTCGACGAGGCGCAGCTAATGGGAAGCGTTCCGAGGCTGGAAAGCCGCCGAGAACCAGCGAAAACCATCGAAAACCTCAAACCCTGGGAGGTCGATGCATCCCCCCTATTTGCCAGCGCGCACAAGGGGTACTGGGAGGGGTGGGAACTTCTTAGAAGGAAGCTGCTTCTCAGGAGGCGCCAGCCCTACATCTACAGACGAGGCCCGCGCCTTCTGAGAAGCAGGGGTGCTTCTACAGAGGCCTTCCAGATGGGGTCGGAGCAGATGGAGTCGGAGCATCTTGCCGCATTGCCGATGCAGCGGCGACGTCGGCATGGAGAAAATCATGATATGCATCGAGCCCAAATCGCCGTTGCATCTGCGATGCGGCGCGATCCTCTCACCCCATCTGCTCGGACCCCATCTGGGAGGTCTAGATTCTAAGAAGCCCTCTGCCCCCCTCTGCGCGCGGCCGACCTGTGCCTATATCCCACCCTGTCGTTGCCCCTGACGCCAAGGGGGGGTCCCCCACCAGGGGGGGCGCATCTGCCTCGAGGCAGCGCCACTTTCCCCAAGAGCTCCCCGGGGCCTTCCAGAGCGGCCCTGCAGGCGTCCCAGGGAGACCTCTTCGAGCGTGGATCCTGAACCTCGAGCTCCAGGGGCAACTGGTGACTCCCAAAACGTTGCCTACTGATCCCCCCTGCAGCCAACCCGCATAGTAAGGATGCGCGGCAAGGACGCAGGGCCCTTGGAGGGCCATGTCACCGTTCTTCGCGCGAGGCTGGCTGGCGAAAGTCGCCAAGGATGGGCCGAAGGGGCACGGATGCAAGGGCAACCCTGGGAAGTTGCTCATCCTTACCATGCGGGCGACTTCGGAAAACCTGAATCCAAAAACGTTTTCATCTCTTGGGGGCGCATCTTTCAATTACTTCCGCCGCCTTCCGCCCGCCGGCGGAGGCGGCCTCGTTTCACTTCCGCCGACCTTCCGCCGCCCTTCCGCCACCTTCCGCCGCGGAAGAGATGATACCAACTCCTTCGATGCTCGAAGGCACGGCCCTGTTTGGACTGCCCCATGCGGGTTGACTGCATCGCTGCGCCCCAAGGACCAGCGAAAGTCGCCAAAGCTGGGCCGAAGGGGACGGGATTGGAAGAAACAGCGGCAGAGACATGAACTTTTTGAGGTCCGCACAGATGTCTTGGACCTGCGCTGGGGCACCCTCCCTGGCGCGAGCGCGCCAGGGGCGGCGCCGGAGGCGCCGCCAGGGAGGCCCCCAGCGCGGATCCAAGAAACCCGCGCGGAGCGCCAAACGTTTCTGCGGATGCCACCTTTTCTTCTTCGAATGATGCAGGGGCAACCCTGAGAAATTGCTCCTCTTGCCGTGCGGGTTGACTGCATCGCCCCGGCATTTCTACAGGCCTACCACGACATGGTCTTAGAACACCAAAATGTTCTATGAACAGAAAAGATTATTCTTAGAGCATAAGCCCGATGTCCCGATGTGTCGAAAGAAGACAGTCCCGGTCAGAAGTCTTCTGAGAACCTTTCGTGGGAACCACAAGAGGCTCTTAGAACATTACTTGGTAGGCCTATAATCGGCGGTGGACAAACCTCCCTTTAGTAAACCTCCCCTTAATGAAAACGGCCTGGGGCCGAAACCGACGGACCTGGACCCGCAAAAGTGACGGCCCCGACGTCCCCTCGCGAACCGAAAACGGACAATTCCTCAGTCGACGTGTCAGGGTAGGAGGTCTGTCCACCCCCGATATGAGCGCGCCAGGACGCTTCGCCACTGCCTGGCTGCATCGCTGCGCCCCCAGGGACCTCCGACCCCATCTACTCCGACCCCATCTGCTCCGACCCCGTGCGGCGCGACCCTCCGACCCCATCTGCTCCGACCCCACCTGGGAGGCCTGGACCATAGGCACGCCAGGACGCTTCGCCACTGCTTCACTGCATCGCTGCGCCCCCCGGGGACCAGACGCTCCACTCGCGGGCGGCGGCGGCGCCCGGCGCCGGGGGCGCGCCGCGGCCCGCGCCGCGGGCGGGGAGCGCCCGCGGGCGCGCCGCCTCTCGGGAAGGGGAGGAGGAGGGGGAGGGGGAGGAGGAGGAGGAGGGGGAGGAGGAGGAGGGAGGAGGGGAGGAGGGGGAGGGGGAGGAGGAGGAGGAGGGGGGAGGAGGAGGAGGAGGAGAGGAGGAGGAGGGGAGGAGGAGGAGGGGGAGGAGGAGGGGGAGGAGGGAGGAGGAGGAGGAGGAGGGGGAGGGGGAGGGGGAGGAGGAGGAGGGGGAGGAGGAGGAGGAGGGGAGGAGGAGGAGAGGAGGAGGAGGGGGAGGAGGAGGAGGAGGAGGAGGAGGAGGAGGAGGAGGAGGAGGAGGAGGAGGAGGAGGAGGGGAGGAGGAGGAGGAGGAGGAGGAGGAGGAGGAGGAGGGGGGAGGAGGAGGAGGAGGAGGAGGGGGGAGGATGAGGAGGGGGAGGAGGAGGAGGGGGAGGAGGAGGGGAGGAGGGGGAGCAGGAGGAGGAGGAGGGAGGAGGAGGAGGAGGAGGAGGAGGGAGGAGAGGAGGAGGAGGAGGAGGAGGAGGAGGAGGAGGAGGAGGAGGAGCAGGAGAAGAGGAGGAGGGGGAGGAGGAGGAGGAGGCGGAGGAGGAGGCGGAGGAGCTCGGAGAACGTGGGGAGAAGGGGCCGGGGGCATACAGACGGATAGACACAGATCCCAGGAGTCCCCCTGTTTCCCGTACCTCCCGGGTGTTCGTCTTCCCATCCCCTCCCCCTGTTGTCCATACAGTTGCCTGGGAGGCGACGATGATCTGTGTCTGTCTGTCTGTTTGGCGGCGCGCACCCGGGGAGTCGTAGGAGGAGGGGGGAAGGCTTCTTGGAAGGAGGCTGCTTCTTGGAGGGCGCCGGTCCTACATCTATAGGCAAGACCCGCGCCTTCTGAGAACCAGGGGTGCTTCTAAGACGCCCTCCCCATTCCCCCTACCCCCTCCTCTGCGCGTGGCTGGTCCTTCCCGGGTCTCCAACGACACGATGTGCTCGTTCGAGTACAGTCAAAACTGATAGCAGGGATGCGGGGCAGGGATGCAAAGGGCCTTGGGCGCCCATGCCGAGGCTTTCTGGGCGGGGCTGGCCATCGAAAGCGGTGGAGGATGGACCGAAGATGGCCGAGGAGGCAAGGATGCAAGGGTACCTTGGGACGTCGATCATCCTCACTATGAGTGTTGACTATAGAAGATCTGCTACATAGTTGAAGTACCCCATGAGCGTTTTCGCATGTTTCGAAGGAAAAACAAGTTCGGTGGTACATAAAATACGCAGACGATCTCCCGTCCGAATCGGGAAACAAGAAAAGACAAAATACATGCATTAAGCATAGAAGCTCGGCGGCCCGCGCGGATTTCTAGGATCGGCGCTGGGGCCCCCTGGCGGCGCCTCGGGCGCCGCCCCTGGCGCGCTCCGCGCGCCAGGGAGCGCCATGAAGTGGGGGTCCAGCGCCGATCCAAGAAAGCCGCGCGGACCTCCGAGTCTGTCTGTTTGTGCCATTTGAAGGGGCATTGGGACACACAAATAAATACACACAAATAAACAAATGTCCCATATTTTCCCATATTTTCTGGGTTTTTGTCTTCCCGCCCAATTCCCATATTTTCCTATATTTTCTGGGGAGGCGACGATTAATTGTGTCTGTGTGTTTTTTCCCCTCCTGACCATTGTCCGTCCCCCGAGCGAACTCCCGGCGTTCTCCTTCGATCCCGGCCTCCGGGGGCAGCTCTCGGCCCCCGAAGCCGGCGAGCACCCCAGCGGAGCACCCTACAACAGCAGCAGCAGCAGCAGCAGCAGCAGCGAAGAGGCGGGTCGAGGAGTAAGAGGTCGGCGGGTGAGAGCGTGCGTTCCTAGATATTCCTAGGGAAGGGGCGCCGTCATGTGCACCTTCATAGATGTTTGAAGGGGCCCTGGGACACACACATAAATACACACAAATAAACATATCCACCATATTGTCTCGTATTTTCTGGGTTTCTGGGTTTTTGTCTTCCCCCCCACTTCCCATATTTTACAATATTTTCTGGGGGATCGCCGATGAATTGTGTCTGTGTGTCTTTTTCCCTCCTGAATGTTGTGCGTGCTAACCAACGTGGCCGTCCGGACCAGACATATGTAGCCGGCACTGCGGCGAGAGAGCACGACGTCCTGCGCAAAGTGCGAGGCAAGCCTCAGGCAGCACGGCTGCCAGAGCGGGCGGTCTAGGACTCCCCTCCTCCTCCTCCTCCTCCTCCTCCTCCTCCTCCTCCTCCTCCTCCTCCGCCTCCTCCTCACCCCACCCCACCCCACCCCACCCCACCCCACCCCACCCCACCCCACCCCACCCCACCCCACCCCAGACCTCCGACGTCGCGGGAAACTCCTCTTCTGTGGCGTTGTTTCCATCCAGCGATCGGAACCCTCTAGCGGGACTCTGTGGGGGAAACGTGGGTCCAGGAGGAGAAAGCTCGCCTGGCCTCTCGGAAGCCCGCCTGACTTCTGCGAGGCCTCCTCGGACGCCTCCCAGGCGCGCCCGAGAAGGCCCCTGCCTTCCAAGAAGCCCCCCCCCCCGGCCTTCTCAGGAGTAAGGGGGCCACATGCGAACCCGACCCCTAGCTCCCACGATTTCTGAGGGGGAGGATGGGGTTCACTTCGCTCGGGAGCTCCCGAACGAAGTGAACCCCACCCTCCCCCTCAGAAATCGTGGGAGCTAGGGGTCGGGTTCGCATGTGGCCCCCTAAGGAGGCCCCCCCCCTCGCGGCACCCCCCTTGGGTGCTCCGCCAGCCTCCGTGGGCACCGCCTCCGGGCTCGAGCACGGCGAGGCCGCGCCCCCGCGCCTCCTGGCGCGGCACCGCGCGCCCCCGGGCCGCAGGACGCCTGTGTACTTGCCCCCGTGGTGCGCGGCGCCCGACTCGTGGCACCTCTAGGGGAGCAAAAAAGTGGCATAAACATCAAAGCTCGGAGGTCCGCGCGGATTTCTCGGATCGGCGCTGGGGCCCCCCGGCGGCGCCTCCGGCGCCGCCCCTGGCGCGCTCCGCGCGCCAGGGAGGGGGGTCCAGCGCCGATCCGAGAAATCCGCGCGGACCTCCGAGTCGTTACGTTTATGTCACTTCTTGTTCCCCGAACCTCGGGGCTGCCTCGCTCGCGAGGGCGCCGCCCAGAGAGCCTTCGTCCTCGGCCGCCCTCGGGGACGGAGGGCACCTGCTACGGTCTGGGGGGGCGTCGTTCCACCGCACAGTCGGGGCCTCCGCCGGCTCGCCGGCGAGGCGCAGCTGGGTCAACACGTCGTGGCGGCTCGGATCCACGACGCTCATCTCCCAGCGGAGCTGGCAGTGCTTGCCCGCTCCAGCGGACTTATCCACGGGGACCACGATCTCGGCACCTGCTCGGACGAGGCTGGGACGGGGACAAAAGGGGACCAGGGCAGACAGGGGAGCACTGAGATCTGGCGGCCCTGGAGGACCTCCCACCTCCCTCCTCCCTCCTCCCGCGGAGGAGGGATACTATGGAGGAGGGAGGAGGGGATCCGCGGCTGCTGCAGAGCGCTCTGGGGACGCTCTGTCCCAGCCCCGCCCGACCTGCGGCCAGCGCCACGAAGTCCTCCGGCCGGCCCGCGGTGGGCGCCGCCCAGAGCTCCTCCGCGTTTGAAGGGGCCCCAGGACACACAAATAAACACACACAAATCAAAGGATTCCCCATGTTTCCCCATATTGTTAGGGTTTTCGTTTTCCCCCCACTTCCAATATTTTCCTATATTTTCCTGGGAATCGAGGATTGATTGTGTCTCTGTGTTTTTTCCCCTCCTTCGCGTTGATGACCACCGCCCGAGCGTCCGGCCACAGCCCGGGGGCCAGCTCGAAGGCCCAGCAGGCGGGCAGCTCCGCGGACCAGCCGTGGGCCGCGTCGCCCCTGCCCAGGCGGGCCAGGCGCTCCTGCACGGCCCAGCCGCGCCTGTCGGGCTGGGACGACGGGGGGGGGGGGGGGGCCCACCAGCCCCTTGGCCATCGCTCGGACGTCCATTCCTGGTGTTTTTTTCGGTTTCGTGCGCGGTTTTTGTCGCCAAATGGTCAAGGATGCTCCTCGATGGTCCTCGCCGAAGGAACAATGCACACGTCCGAGCGATGCCAAGAGCCCTTTGGCCGTCGGTGGTTCAGGGAGTCCGCTCTTCCAAGCTCCTCTTTCTCTCCCCTGTTTATCTCCATTCCCTATTCATGTACACCCCCTACACGACCCGGCTGGCAGCAAAAAACCTGGAACAAGGAGGACCCCTTATGAAGGCACCCCCACCATCCCTGTAACAAACACATGCAAAACGCACTCTGGCTCCACATTTGGAGCATGCGCGGCCGCCCCGCGACAATTGTGTATGGGTATTTTACAGGACGGCTGAGGTGCCAGCAGATCCCACCTGCCTTCTGGGCGCAGGTGGTCGACCGACTGGTTTGACACATCAGTGGCTGCTGCCTTTTCGCCTTCTCGTTTCCGATGGGCTTTCGAAACCTCCAGAGGGCCCAAAAATTGGAAAGAAAGCTCCAAGCCGGGTCCAAGAGACTTCCAAATCGGCCTCGAGACTGCCCCAAGTTGGCGCCACGAGAGCGCCAAGAGCGGTCTTGAGGACCCCCAGAGGGGGTGGCCTCCAGGTGGATGGCCCAAGAGAGCTCCAAGCCAGGCCCACGCCCCCAAGAGCGCCCCCAGGTGGCCCAATGAGGGCCTCAAGGGGCTGGTTCGAGGGCCCCCGAAGAGGGGGCTCGTCCCCAAGAGGGGAGGGCTGAACGACCTCCCCTTGTGTCAAATCGATTGCCTCCTAGATGGCCCTCAGAGGCTCTCCACGGCTCCCACGAGGGCCCCAAGAGTGATGGCCCAAGAGACAAATGGACACCCCGACCACGAGGCCGCAGCGTCGAAATCCGACGAAGCTCTGGCAAGCAAGCGGCTGCGTGAATTTGTTGGCGTGAAACAAACTGAACCCCAGAAAAACGAGACCTGGACTCCAGGGGCGCCAGCAAGGCCAGGCTTTCAACCGGCCTTGCTGGCGCCCCTGGCACGTGCCGCACCTGGAGCGCGTGGCACGCTTGGGCCTCCAGGCTCTGGTGCATCTGGAACCCGTGGCGTCTGCGGCGCTCTTACGCGGTATCCTATGGAATGTTCTCATTGTTCTCATGAACGTTTAGGATAATGCTGATCATCATCATCGTCATCGTTATGCTGAGATCTCCAGGATAAACGATTGTCATACCCCCTGGACCCCGAACTGTCTTATCCCCAGGGGGGGATTAACGCGAGCGCAGGGTTACGAGGGCGAGGAGGAGGAGGAGGAGGAGGAGGACGAGGAGGATGATGGACCTGGCAATGGGGAGGAGGAGGAGGAGGAGGAGGAGGAGGAGGAGGAGGAGGAGGAGGAGGAGGAGGAGGAGGAGGAGGAGGAGGAGGAGGAGGACCACAGTAAACCCAATACGCATCAACGATGTTACAATAAACTCTCCATCCAAATTCAATCTTCATAGGTCCTTACAAAATCGACATTCACTGTGTTGGGAGGGCGGGTGGGAGTACCTAAGACGGCTTGCGAGCGGGTGGGTAGCTTGACCTCTCCCCCTGCCCCCTGTCCCTGGGTCTGGACGGGCCCAGCTCGCGGGCCGTCGGAGCGTCCGAGGTGTCCCCCGGTCGCCCAAAGAGGGCCCCCGACAGGCCAAGATGGCTCCCGAGATCGCACACGACAGCCCAGAATGCCGCACATTGGCACAAGATAGCTTCCCGACGTGCATCTTCAAGAGGGGCCACGACCGTCCCAAGACGGCTCCAGGTGGCCACGGAGCAAGGACCACCCCGAGAGGCCAAAGTCCTGTCGTGCTTTCGTGTTTTTGTTGTGTTATCGCCATTTCGCTTCCGATGGGCTCGTGAGGCATCAAGACGGCTCCAAGATGGCCCGGGAGAGCCACGAGAGGGGCCCAAGATGGGCACAAGACGGCCCCAAGAGAGCCCAAGAGTGCCCCAATACTGGTCCAAGAGGGCCCCAAGGGGCTGGGTTTTGGCACCCGACGGGGGGGAGAGGGCGGACATTAAGAGCCTCCACGATGGCCCCACGATGGCCCCTCAAGGCAGCGAAGAGGGCCCGGAGAGGGGCCCAAGAGAGCCCCAACGGCCTCCAAAACATGACCCTGAGAGGGCTCCAGTTTTGCCCCACGATGGCCCCGCGATGCCTGCAAGATGTTCCCAGACTGTGCCTGCCTGCTGCTACGCATCCCCGAGTACAGTCGGGGCGTTGACCTAAGGAACCCTAAATAAGGAACGGGGCCCCTTCCTCCGATAAGTTAAGCTTCGATTTCCCATGGAAAACCTCAGGAAAACAAAAGGCAAACTGCAAAACAACTAAGGAACACCGAGCCCCTCCCCAACGAAAAGGGTTCCTTCTTCAGGGCCCCGACTGTAGGGCAACTCGCCCGGTGATTGCTTTTGGAAGGGCCAGTGCGGATGCGCGCAGCGCCAAAGGTTCGGGGACTGCAGACGGCGGCGACGGCGACGACGACGGCGGCGACGGCGGCGGCAGCGGCGGCGGCGACGGCGACGGCGGCGACGCCGACGGCCGCGGCGACGGCGACGATGACGATGACGACGACGGCGGCCGACGGCCGACGGCCGACGGCCGACGGCCGACGACGGACGACCGACGACCGACGACGACGCCAAGCATCAATCCATACCCACCGCCCTGGGAGCCGACGTCCTGGGACCCCGGCGGGCGGTGGACGTCAACGCATTCTCGCCCCATGGGGGCCCGACGCCGAAGGCCCCGACCCGAGCAAATGGGCCCAGGGATACGAAAGTACATGCACAAATCCCAGGACTCCCCTGTGTGTTTCCATGTCTTCGGGCGTGTCATCTTCCCCTCCACCTCCCATATATCCCCAGATGTTCGCGGAGATCGACGTGCAAGTATTTGCGCCTGTGTCTTTCGTTCCCATCCTGACCGAAGATAGGGAAAGAAAAGGGGGGAATCGAACCAACTCATGCAGCCTGTCTTCCCGGCAGCTGCCGGCGCCAAAGGCGCCCGTGCATCGAGGAGAGTGCCTGGCGGCGAAGCCGCCGCCAGCTCCGTGCGGCAGATGTCTCTTCCTCCGCCCTCCCACGCTTCCTCCTCCTCACCCCCCTCCTCCTCCGCCTCCTCCTCCTCCGCCCTCCCCCTCCGCCTCCTCCTCCTCCTCCTCTTCCTCCTCCTCCTCTTCCTCCTCCTCCTTCTCCGAGCGCACTCCCCTGGAAAGACCGAGTCCCGCCGCGCGCGGGCGTCCTGTGAGCTGCACCTAGTGCAGCACCTCGAAGATGGGCCAGGCTTTCAAGCCTGGAGGTAGACGTCCTTGCGCTAACCTCTGAATTGCCTTCCTCCCCCCTTTCTGTGGGAGGCGCACAGACTGACTTCAATTTACTGCGTGCCCTAATAGTCCATCCCCCGCAACGGCTGCACCAGCAAATGCCGTTGGTGACTTGCAAATGGGGATGGTGGGGCGGGTGCAATGCCAAAACGTGGGGCCGACAGGGTCTCTTTAGCCAAGTGGACATCCTAAGTTTGACGCTACCTTGTTTCTTACACCTAAGACAGGCTAGGTTATACTCGGGAGCCACGGGGGCAGCTAAAAGACAGTGGGAAGTGTTCTGAAGGGCATCCTGAAGGGCCTGTACACTTCTAAGGGCTCTCACTCTCCTACGCTCCTCCTTCGACTCCTCGTCCTCCTTGGGGGAACTGATCCTTGAGTTCCCAGTAGTGGGTCTGGATTGCCGAGAGACGGTCGCAAGTCATGTTGGCGTGGATGTCTGCCCCTTGAATCTGGCGGACCAAAGCGGGCGGTGCGCGCCGTCGACGGGCAGCGCAACTGGCAATGTCATCCACTTGCTCATTCATGTAGAGCGTCCAGGGCGGCTCGTTGGCCGCCTCCTCCTCCGTCGGGTGACTTTTGACCTTCTGGAAAAATAACTGTGCGGCACGGGCTGATGCATACGTCCAGAACTTCTCCCAAGCCAGGGGGGTACGAGCGCGTCGGGCCCTGGGTCCTTTCAAGAAGCCTTTGATGACGTAGAGGCAATCGGTGACGATGACTAGGGGCCCTCCTGTGGCTTGAAGAAGGTTGATGACAGCGGCTAGTTCAGCGAGGGGGACTGACTGCTGGCCTCGGATCCCTCCTGAGAGTGAGCCGATGAACTGCAAAGAGGATGTCCAGAGGGCGGCTCCCCAGCCGCAGACTCGGAGGCGTGCATCCATGGTGTGCTCCCCTCCGCTCCCGTCGGTGGCCCCGATGAGGACGTTTGTGTGGTTGAACTTGCCGTGCTGTTGAAAAACTCCTGCTTTGATGATGTCATCGTCTAGGGACATGCTGTGTTGGTGGACTGCTTGCAGGGCCCATTTGGCAGGTACGATCCCTCGGAGCCAGAGACATGCATTCTGTGGGCACTCCTGGACTGCTTGAAGAACTGAACCTTGGGTCTTCTGGATGGCCTCTGAACCTGGCGAGGGGAGCTCGGGGCAGGTCCAGAACTTGTGAAGGTCGTCCGCATTCGTCTGACCACAGAGTAGGCAGTCGACGTGGTCCTGGAGCCCTGCTTCAAATCTGCGCTCTTCACTCCAGCACTTGGAACAGGCAACTGCAGACATGGCGGAGGGGTAGGAGGCGAGCCTGGTGAGGTACTCTTCTTTGGTGGCCCTCTGGTCCCTGGTGAGCTCCTCTTCCTCCATCTTCTTCCTCTGCTTCCTGATGGCTGCTGCATTCCTGCTGGGGTAGAGCCTCATTGCTGTGATATCTCCCCCTTCCTCCAACCCTGCGGAATTGTGGCTCTTGGGGCAATTGAGGCTCCAGAGGTGCATGGAGAGGAGGAACTGCATGTGATAGAGGAAGCGCTGCTGCTGGTCCCAGCTGAGCGGCTTCACACTGAAAACCTGGCCTGAGGGGTCCGACCACTGCCAGGCAGTGGTGCGCCCCCAACCTATGTCGTAAAGGGTGGCGATGACCGCCGACAGGTGCGACTTCACGCGAAGCCACCGATACTGCGAACGAAGCTCGTCTCGTAGCAGAGGCCATGCTCTTTGGATTCCTCCCAGGAGGTCCAGCTCGTTATTGATGAATCTGAACCAAGTCTGAAATATGTTTTTCCTGAGGAATATTGCGGGGTCAACTTCTGCGGGTCCTGCTTTGAGCGCGTGGAGTCCAGTAGTGAGGCAAGCTCCTGAATTAGACACTCCAAAAGCAGATGCGGTCTGGCGGCGCAGAAAAAAAAAAACACTTCTGACGGTGAGGCCCCGTGACCTTGCATGCCCCGCAACATCTGGGGCTGCGCTCCTGTGCGATCAAGAGAACGTGCCTTGGTCGTTGTCCTGGCCAGCTTCTTGATGTTCCTTGCCCTGAGGAGCCCTAGGGTGAGACGTTTCCTGCGCACCTTGAGGGTCCGACGACGTCCCACGGAGGCATCCATCCCGAGGTCCCTGGTGTGGCTGAGGGGCTTGATGCGGACCCCGTGGTCATGGAGGGCGCCCGCGACGGCCTTTGCTGGGGTCCAGGGAGCTGGCCAGAACGACTGACTTATCCGAGAGACGGCAGCCTAGTTCTGCGAGTCCTTGGCAGAGGTTCATGGTGCAACTGGGAAAGGTCTCCTTCAACATGTCGGGGCTGCCGACCATCCGAATTCTTATGTCGTCGACCCATGTCCTGATGGTGGGCCTAGGGATCTGGTAGTGGGCCCTCTCGAGTACCTCATAGAGTAGGGACCTGGTCCATGGTGCACTCTGTCCTCATCCTTGAAGTATAGACTTGAGTGGCGTTAACGGATTGCTGACCCCGATAGGCGTAGCGAGGACCCTGACGGCGGTGTGGACCAAGACCCCCAGGGAGAGCGGGACCATGGGGTAGCCTAACTGCAGCGCCTTCTGGGAGAGCTTCTGGGTATCTATGGTGCCAAAAAACTTGTCTAGGTCGAGCACGCCCTCGATAATGCTGGCCTGGAGTACCCCTCCGATCTCGGCGAAAACCTCGCTGAGCAGAGCGGCCTGTAGACAATCACTACCTTTGATGGCTGCACCCCAGAGACCAGCCCGAGCTTCTTCCCAAGATGATATCCGACCTTTGAAGAGCCTCATGGTGACCCGATAGGCGCATTAATGAGTGTGATGGGTCGGTCACTGATTTCCGTCTTGGGCTTGAGGGCCACGAGGTTTATTAGACATTGGGCTGGATACTGCTGCAGCCTACAAATATCATTGATTATATCTGTTAGGATCTCCAACCCTGCTTCTGGTAGTCGGCGAAGATCTGCGGTGCGCCACTGGTCGGCGCCAGGCGCAGAGCTGGCAGGGAAAGACTTAAGCGCGGCTGCAACCTGGGTGGGCGTGAACTGGTCGTCTTGATCCCAAGAGTTCCGTGCCTGCTGCCTAATCTCTTGAATCCATTGGCCTCGGGGGGGACCTCCAACTCGTTTCCCTCTGGGTCCCAGAACTTCATCCAAAACTCGCCCTTGTGACCTAAGACCGGCATGGGGTCCGTAACTATGTTGTCATTGGCATCTACGAAGATATCGTTGTCCTCCTCGGGGGTGGGGCCTGGGATCTTCGTGATATGGTGGGCGCCGCCGCCGCCGCGGGCGAGGGAGTCCTCGAGCCACGACTGGAAGGCAGCATCCTGCTGCCGCAGAGCCTCTTTCTCATAGAACTGAACTGTCACTTCTAGCTGGAAGAGAGCGTCTTCAAATTGGTCCTCCTGAAGGTTCCCAAGGAGGTACTTCTTGATCAGGTCCTGGAAGTCCTGAAGGGTCCCAGGGGGGCCACGGGGGGCCCTGGTTGACGATGTCGCTGATGTACCCCTGGAGCCTCTGGAAGCCTTCTGAGCGGGGCTTGATCTTGTGGAGCTGGTCTCTCTCCTTTGCCCTTTGCTGGAGAACTCCCCATTGGTGACTGGCAGGGTGTAGACGCTGCTGGAAGGGAGTGGGAGGGCAGATGTCTTTCCACTCGCACTGGAAGCCTTCAGCTCGCCCAAAACTCGTGGGCAGCTCGGCGGACTCCCAAGACACCACCCCTCCAAGGCCTGACTAAGACGAGCGTACTGGTGGGTCAGGTCGGGGGAGGAGTGGGCGGCGGCTAAAGGGGTGAGAAACCCTGGCGGACCTTGCCAGTCCAACTGAGCCTGCGCCCAGTAGTGATGCCATGGTGCCGCGGGGCCGATGGCGGTTGGAGCGAGCCCGCTCGCTTTTGAAACCAACCCTGCCTGACCATGATCTCTGTCTGGAAGTCGCCCGCAAGCCGATGTGCGGCTTCCAGGGGCTGGTGAGGTCGGTCTCTACCCTGAAATATTCTCCAAAGAAACTGCTGATGATGAAGAAATCGATGAGCCTACCTCCCGAACATGTACTGTGGATCTCTGGGGCCTTGATGGTGCCCTCGATCCTGGAGACCCAGGGGTTCCCGTTGGTGAGCTCCTCAGGGGTCATGTTGAAATCCCCTCCGATGACGAAGGGGAGCTTGAGCTGCTTGAGGAAGATGGTGATCTCTCGGACCACCTTGTTGTTGAAAGCATTGTAGCCTACCCCCGACTGTAAGTAGACTGAGATGAGAACTAATTGCGCTGACTCAGACGGACTATACAGGCTGTCCAATTAGTCCCTCCCACTAATGGTTTGGCCTGCCCTTTCCGTTCATGATGCGCGCATGCGAGTGAAACTGCTTTGACACGAATAACCCCACTCCGCCTGAGCTGCCTGCGGGAGTGTGAGCTGCTGGGCACTGATAGCACTTGTAGCCAAGCTTCCCCATGAACTTCCTAGCTTCTCCCAAACGTCCTGAAACCAGATGCGTCTCCCCTAGCATGATGATTCCTGGTTGTCCAAAACTCGAAGCTTGAAAATAATCCTTGGCTTTCTTGTTCCAATTAGTGATATTGGCATGGTAGATGGTGAACTGTCATGAGCCCCTGGGGGGGGGGGGGGTGCCGTGGCCGAGCGCCACGCTCACCTGGTCCGTCCCCCCCCTGGCCCCTGCTGCAGGGCGCCGGCAACTGCGGCTGCGGGGCTTCTGCTCATGAGTCCTGCCGCCTCCTGCTAGATCACGCCCACGGGTTGGGTCATCTCCAGCTGCGGCTGCGGCACCATCAGCACGACGGGGTGGTACTGTGGGTTGCGGGGCTGCTGCCTTGGGCTTGGCCTTCTTGACCTTGGCCTTCGGGAGCGAGCCTTGGACCTTCTCGAAGTCCACGAACAACTGCTTGGCATTGTTGCCCTCCTCCCCCTCCATGCCTTGGACGAACTTGAGGAACTCGACTGGCACTTTGGGAAGTTGGACGGCTGGTCCTTCTTCGGTGTCCTCCTCCATGGGGGCGCCTCCACCCCAGCCGCGGGTGGCCTCGACGCCGGCGGCTTCGAAGGTGGAGCGGGCCTTCGCGAGCTCCTCGCCTGTGGCGTCGAACTCATCCTGCGTGGCGGTGATCTTGGCCTCCAGGTCGGCGATGGTTTCCTTGAGGTTCTCCTGCTTCTTTTCGAGGCGCCTCACCTCGTGCAGGGCTGTGGTGGCTGCAGCGGTTGGTGGCTTCTTCGGCTACTGGATCAGGCCCTGCATCTTCTTGCAAGCCTCGGTCCCCAGGTCGTCCTTCTGCTCGGGTGTGAGCTTCGCGAGGAGGAGTGAAAAAGGATCTCTTTCATCTCGGATGGCTTCTCCTGCTGCTCTTTGTCCTTGCCACTGGGGCCTGAGCTGCCGTTGGTGTCCTGGCCCTTGCCCATGGGGAGGTCGAACGGCCGCCCGCAGAGGCAATGCATCTTCTTCCGCGCCTTGTTCAGATATTGCCATTCTCCACAACTTGAGCATGCACAATACTGACGTCGGCGCTGCTGCTGCTGCTGGTAGGACTGCTGGTAGGCCCACCACGAGTTGCCTCCCATTGCTGCTGGAGTGTCGGTGTGTGTCTGGCCGACGGGAGACTGGAAAGCCACTGCTGGCAAGATGCACCTCGAGCCCGTGCTGCGGGGCTTGAGCCAAAATGGCTTGAGCCAAAATGGCTACGGAGATCTCCTCCTCCTTTTCCTCCTCCTCCTCCTCCTCCTCCTCCTCCTCCTCCTCCTCTCCCCTGTTCCTCAGGAGCGTCCCTCCCCCTCCGCCTCTTGCTGGACGTCTGCATGCACCTCACAGCCAACCCGCAATCATAGCAAGGGTGCGCGCGACGAGGCTGCAGGGGCCTGGGACGCCCACTCCGGAGCTCCTCGAGCGGGGCGCGGCCAAGGAAGGTTGCCCACACCTACTATGCGGGCTGACTGCATGTCCCTCTCGTGCACGGCTTCCCCTGGGGCCGTAGGCGACCCGAGGAGGAGGAGGAGGAGGAGGAGGAGGAAGAGGAGGTGGAGGAGGAGGAAGAGGAGGTGGAGGGAGGAGAGAGGTGGAGGAGGTGGAGGGGGAAGAGGAGGAGGAGGAGGAGGAGGAGGAGGAGGAGGAGGAGGAGGAGAGGGAGGGGGAGGCTGAGGAGGAGGAGGAGGAGGAGGAGGAGGAGGGAGGAGGAGGAGGAGGAGGAGGAGAGATCGAGGAGGAGGACGGGTCGCCTAAGCCCTTCGGAGAACCCCCCCACCCCCCACCCTCTCGGTCGCCGCAGGCACGGCCTCGAGCTTGCCGACGCGCCCCTCCCGGAGGCAGGACCTCTGCTTGTAAGCCTGCCTGCCCGTCCCCGGCCCCCCTGTCTGTCGCCCCGCCCGCGCCTGCGCGCCTCCACCACGCCAACCACCTTGAGCGGCATCGTTTGAACGATCCCAAAGGAAGGGGGAAATAATTATCGGGGGCATCGATTTGGCGCGCGGTTGCCAAATCCATGGATCGGGGGAGGTGCCCTCCCCAAAATGCGGCTGGTGGTTCGGCGGAAATGCGCGATTTCCCATGGAAACGGGACCCGTCGCAAATCCACGCCCCCTTGATCCATGTTTGCGATCGCCTGAGATTAGTGGACACTCCCCCGCTCCCCCAAACTCAGTTGGCACGCGCGGGGGAGACTGCGGTCGAAGCGCAACTCATCAGACTCACCGCCAACTTGGAGCATTGGAGGGAGGGGGAGGCGTTGACCGATGAATGTGGCATGCGTGTTCGCTATTTTCCGAGGCCTGTATCACAACTGGCGTGGCCTTTGCCCCACTGGCCGATGTACCCAACAGGGTGGGGATACCGTCAACGTGTAGAAGATAAGAATGCACGAGATAAGGACGCAGAGGCCTCGGAAGCCCACATCGGCACTTGTGCCGAGCGGCCAGCAAAAGTGGCCGAGGATTGGCCGAAGGCAGGGGAAGGAGGCAGGAGTAACCTTTGAGAGTCGCTCCTCCTTACTGCCCGTGCTGACTGTACGGGCCTGCTCCTGCTCCTCCAGGCTTAGCAGGGGCCTGTCCCCACCTGAGCGAGCAAACTGGTGGTGAAATGGCACGGCCCAGTGTCGAAGATGGACAGACCTTAACCCTCGACCTCCTCCTTCCACGCCCGCCGTGTGGAAGGTGTGGAAGGTTATAGAATCTGTACATGACCTACGCAAGTTCATCAAGGTTTCTCTAGGTTTTTGTGGGATCTTCAAGATTCTCATGGTTTCGCCGTGATCAGCCAGAGCTCTGCAGGGCTATTCCAAATTTCAGAGATTGGGCCCTGGAAGCGACGGGGCCTTTCTTTTGCCGGCTCCGTTTTGCCGATTTTGTTGCCGGCTCCGACGCCGTGTTTGCCGGTTCCGTCGCCTTTCTGTTTCGGCTCCGGTTCCAATCCCGGAGCCGTTGTCTTTTCCAGCCACCATTTGGGCGCCGCCTCTATCTCCAACAAGAAGTATGCTTTCGGAAACGGTGAGAAAATGGCCCTGCTGCTTCCGGGGCCCACTACAGTCTGGGCGTTGACCTGAGGAACCCTAAATCAGGAACGAGGCCCCTTTTTTCCATGAGTTAAACTTCGATTCCCCATCGGAAACCTAAGGGAACCCTGAGGCAAGCTGTGAAACAGTTAAGGAACACGGAGCCCCTCCCCTACGAAAAGGGTTCCTTCTTCAGGGCACCGACTGTAAGGGACAGAACTGAAGGGGCCCTGGGACACACAAATAAATACACACAAATAGAAGGATTCCCCATATTTTCCCATATTTTCTGGGTTTTTTGTCTTCCCCCCAACTTCCCATATGTTCCTATATTTTCCTGGGGGTCGACGATTAATTGTGTCTGTGTGTTTTTTCCCCTCCTGAAGAACACCCTTTGGCAACACGCCCTTCAGTGAACGCTGCCAGCTTCGGCGCTCCGCGTGCGCACGCCGCCGTGTTCCGCGTGGACCCCGCGGGGTAGCCAACCGACGCCCCACAACCGCCGAGTGCCTATAGGCAGCGAAGGCGCCCGCCGGCCAGCGACACCGACTCGGGACTGCACCGGCCCACGGGAGTGCCAATGCCGAGCGAGCCCCATGCAGATTTCCTCCGTCGACGCTGTTTGAAGGGCCTTGGGACACGCAAGTGAATAGACACAAACAACAGGATGCGCCATCTTTCCCATATTTTCGGGGTTTCTGCCTTCCCCCCACCTCCCATATCTTCCGATATTTTCTTGGGGATCGACGATTCATTGTGTCTGTGTGTTTGTGCCCCCTCCTGATTGTTTGGGCGGGCGTTCCCCCAACGCCCGACCAAAGCATTTTCTCGCTTATTCGCGACAACGCCCGTGGCTGGCCCCGCTCCCCTCCCCCCCCCCCCTCCGCCCGGTCACGTCGTCACGACTTGGGCACGCCCAAACGGCGCCGGAGCGCATCGCGGAGTGGCCGGCCCCCTGCCCCCACCGCGCCCCCCCCCCCCCTGGTGGGCTCGACGGCGGGGTGCCAAATTGAAGGGGCCCCAGGACACACAAATAAATGCACACTAATAAAAGGATTCCCCCAATTTTCCCCAATCTTCTGGGTTTTCGTCTCCCCCCCCCACTCTCCATATTTTCCCATATTTTTCCCGGGAGTCGACGATCAATTGTGTCTGTGTGTTGCTTTCCCTCCTGACCAGTCCTCGCTGGGAAGATTTGCGGTCGGCAGAAGGGTTGCGCCCGTGGCCTCGCCTCACGGGGCGGGTCCCAGGATTCCTGCGATTGCCGAGGGTTTGGGGTTAATAACAAGAATGACAGGGTGCAAAAGGGCGCTCGCCGACGCTAACCTTAGGGTTTCGCGTGAGGGTCGTCGAAAACCCTAAGGACGCGAGGGACCCGTCGCCGAGGGTTTGGGGTTAATAACATAGGAGGAGGTTGACACCTCAGCGTCAGCAACCCCATCCACCCGTCGGTCCTCCCTTCTTTCAAGGGGCCCAAGAACACACAAATAAATACACACAACAAAAAAACGGTTCCCCATATTTTCCAATATGTTCTGGGTTGTCTTCCCGCCCAATCCCGATATTGTCCCATATTTTCCTTGGGATCGACGATTAACTGTGTCTGTGTTTTTTTCCTTCTGATTCTGGCACGAAGCCCGCCTTTGAGCGCCGCCTCCGGCCAGCTGGTCACGCCCGTCATCGCCGGGTGCTGTGTCGGGGGTTGCTAGAAGTGCCCCTGGCCCAAGGTACCCCCAGGATTCTCGGGGTGGCCCAGGCGGCCTCCAGAGCACCCCTCACGAGGCCCAGAGGGCCCTAGGGCTCCAAAATTGAGCGAAAACCTAGGGGCACCTTGGGCCAGGGGCACTTCTAGTAACACCCGACGGTGGCTTGCGAATCGACGCCAATCGACGCTGAATCGGCGATGTCTCTCATCGGTTACCAGACACCCACACACGCCAGTGCACTTTGAAAAAAGGCGCAAGCACGAGGACGCACCAGGCTCCAATGATTGGCTCTACCGAAGCCAGTAGGGAGCCCACAAAGGAAGTACGCGCCCAGCTGTGTACGTGAACACGGCCCCTCGATCCGCGAGACTGGCCGCGTTCTACGAACATTTGCGCAATGCGTACTCTCGGAACCAGCGTGGATTCACGTACGTGTACGTCCTTCTTTTGTTCCTGAGCCAGGGGACAAAGACACGGTCTCCGGGGGCGGATGGGGATCGGTCCAACGATGCTGAACACCTGGGGGAACCAAAAGCCACCGGTACCGCTACTCTCAGGACCTCTCCTGGGGTGCGTTCTGACCAGACTTGCGGGGCCGATCCAGCGGTGGCGACGAGGGCCTCCCAGGAGGGCGAGAAAGGGGAAAACGGGCGAAGGGTAGCGGCAGTGGTACCTTTTCCTCCTCTGAGGTCCAAAGGTTCGAGTAGCAAATCGACTACAGAATTGATGTGCCCCAATTGAATGTGCATTGAGTCTACGTGGAATATCGATGGAGTCGTCATAGATCTACGAACATGAAATGTGCTGTTTTTTGTTCGTAGATCCGACGACATAATCAAATATGGAGTACATCAAGTATGTAGTCGATCCCATGCTACTCGACCTTCGGTGGTTCAAAGATGGGGTCCTGAGAGACGGGGTCCTAAGGATAGGAAGGGATCCAAAGGTGGACTTACACTGTTTGAGGAAGCTCGTCCTTAGGACCCCATCCCTGAGGACCCCGTGTCTAATAGAGGCCTCCTAGATGGGGTCGGAGTAGATGGGGTCGGAGAATCGCGCCGCATCGCCCATACATCGGCGATACATCGCCGATGCATCGGCGACGCATCGGAGACGTATCGGCGATGCATCGGCGACGACAGCGAGAAGAAAATTGGGCTCCACATCGAGCCGCATCGCCGATGCATCGACAATACGGCGCTTTCTCTGACCCCCAGACCCCATCCAGGAGGCCTAGAATCCCTCAGGACCCCGTCTCTGAACCATCGAGACCTCTGAGGTCCAGCGATGCCGACCACCTTGCCCCATCGCTCGGACGTCCTTTTTCCCGTGAATTCCTCTTCGATATCGTGCGATACAGGATGCTCCTCGATGCGAGGAAAAGTGCCCTCCCAGATGGGGTCGGAGTAGATGGGGTCGGAGGATCGCGCCGCATCGCCGACGCATCGCCGATGCATCGGCAATTCATCGGCGATACACCGGCCATGCATCGTCGACGTCAGCGATGCATCGGCGACGCCGACGTGCAGCAAATCAGGCTCCACATCGAGCCGCATCGGCGATGCACCGGCGATGTGGCGCGGTCCCCCGACCCCATCTACCCGGACCCCACCTATAGAAGGGCACCAACTATACACCAACACCGATCCTGGCCAGGATCACCCTGGGCCCAGGATCGGTGTATCCGCACTCCTACCTGGGGCAGGAAGGCATATGCACCGATCCTGGGCGCAGGATTGGCCTGGCCAAGATCGGTGTAGGTGCATAGCTCGTGCCCTCCGAGCTTGGGAGGTCTGAGGCACGCCCGAGCGGTGCCAAGCAGAGGCCCGGCGATGCCGACCACCTGCACCACCCGCAGGCCCAGGCTCCGCAGCAGCGCGGCCGCGCCGGGGCCGCCGCCGCCCTCGCCGCCGCCCTCGCCGGCGCCGTCGCCGCCGGCCTCGCCGCCGGCTGGAGGCCTCCCGGGCGGCCCGCGCGCGGGGGCGGCCGGGGGGCAGAGGCGGCCGCCGGTGCGCGCGCGACTGCGAGTGCAACCCGTGTGATGTGAAGGATGCGCAGGCAAGGGCCTCGGAGGCCCATGGGTGAACGTTTTGCGAAGGAGGCTGGCCAGCGAAAGTCGCCAAGGATGGGCCGAAGGGGCAAAGTATGCAAGGGTACCCTCGGGAGGGTGGTCCATCCTTGCAATGCGGGTGGACTGTACTATTGTTTTGTTAGCGGCGCGCACAAGGGTCGCAGAGGGGGGGAGGGTTTCTCATAGGGCGCCGGTGCTACAAATGTAGGCAAGGCTTCTTAGAAGGAGGCTGTTTCTTGGAAGTCTCAAGAAAAATCTGCGCCCCTGCGCTTGGGCCCCTGGGGGTAAGAAAGTTTGGGGTACCGGGGGATCATAAACGCTTTCCTAGCAGATCGGAAAATGATGCTGATGATGTTGATGATGGTGCTAATGATGATGATGATGATGACGATTATGATGATGATGATGATGATGATGAGGGTGATGATGATGATGATGATGATGATGATGATGATGATGATGATGATGATAAAGACGATGACGATGATGATGATGATGATGATGATGATGATGATCCCTGCGTCTGAGAAGGTCTGGAGCTCCCCGCTCGATACAGCCTTCCGAGGCCAGGGCCTTTCCCTCTGGCGCTGCGGTCGCAAGGCCCGACCCGTGCCACAGGCACACTCGCAGACTCACCTGAAAGCCAGAGGCCACGCCTACCACCCCAGCCAAAGGCAGGCGGTGGGCAGGGCATGCAGCATTCACGGCGACTCAGCACGCAACGGCTCGAAGTGTCACAACAATGCAAAGGTCCCCTGCCCCAGACACACGCAGGGACGGCTTGCACTGCGGTGGCCTTCGGAGGCGAACAAGGCAGTCGGTGGGCCTACCACCACCGTTCGGCCTCCGACTGGCGGCACAGAGCACAGAGCGGGCTGGAGCGCAGCTACTGCGCGGGCCGACGCGCCAAAGCGCGCCAACAGCTACATTAAGCGGATGCGCCACTGGCGCCGACTCGCCACGGGCCGCAACACGTCCTCTGGCGCGAGGCCACAACGCGGACAGGTTGCCCCCCCTGGCGCGGAGCCCGATCCCGTGCGCGGGCAAACCTACGCACCTGGTTCAGCTTCCGCCCGAGCGGCCATGCACAGAGCACCGAGCAAGCCCGAGCAGAACGGGCCTTTTCCCTCTGCGCGGGCCGACGCGCCAAAGCGCGCCAACAGCTACATTCAACGGGTGCGCCAGTAGCGCAGGACTCGCCACGGGCCGCAACACGTCCTCTGGCGCGAGGCCACGACGCGGACAGGTTGCGCCCCCTGGCGCGGAGCCCGACCCCATGCGTGGGCGAGCCTACGCACCTGGTTCAGCTTCCGCTCGAGCGACAGCCATGCACAGGGCACCGAGCTAGCCCGAGCAGACAGCGTGTGCCCGCCACGGGCGGACAGGATGCTGAGGCGCCTCTATAACAGGGCCGCTAGGCTAGCCGCCGCCCACGCGCTTCCGCATGCGCCGAAGGGGTTCAGGGTCGCCGATGCCTCCCGCGCCCGCTGGCTGCAGGCCTCGCTTGAGGCGGCTGAGCACCGCCTTCTGCCTGTCGTTCTTGGGGGCCTTTGGGCACACCTCCGCGAGGCCCGTCATCCTCCGACTCTGGGTCCAGTAGCCTCACGTGACGCAGAAGAGGTGGTTCCCTGCGCGCCAGAGGTCGTGGGAGTCGTGCGCGCCGAACCCCCACCACGGCGGCAGCTGCGGCGGCGGCGTCGCCACGGCCTTCGCCAGCGGAGGGGCGAGAGGCGCGGGAGGCGCCCGCGCCGCGCCCCCGCTGCCAGCAGCCCCGCCGCCGCCACCATCTGCAGGTCCCGCGTCACCGCCGTCTGACCCCTGCGTGAAGTTGGCCTGGCTGGAGAGCACCGCCGCGCAAACCGTGAGCAGCGCCGCGCCAGCCGCTGCCGAGCCCGAGCCGCCCTCTGTACCCGATGTCCATGAGCCTGTGATCGCCTCGCCTCTGCCAGCGCACTCCTGGCATGCCCAGAGGGTGTCGGTGCCGACTTCGAGCCACGTGCCGTGTCGCCCGCACGTCCTGCGTGGGCAGTCTGGGAAATTGCAGTGAATGCACCACCGCATCTTGCAACCCTGCCAATCGCAACGCACGGCTGCGAGACCAGGCCCATCGTAGCCGTCCTCGGCAGTCAGCTCGCCGTCGCCCTCCTGCATCGCTGCCCCCAGCCAGCGAAAGACCTTCTGCACGAGCCGATCCTGGCGGCGGCTCCGGTCGCGCACAGCCTCGTCCTTCGGGTGCATCTGCGCCCCTTGCACGGCTCGCGCATCTGCGCAGTGATTGCCCCTGCGCTGCCACGCCGTGATACGCTCCGCCTGCGCGTCCGCCAGCGTCGCGTGGGCCTTCACCTTATGGATGGAGACGCTGTCGATGCCGACGTCGACGATGGCGCCCCAGAACCTTACCCACAGCTCGCGGTAGGGACGCTGCCACTGCAGGCACCACGCCCTGCCCGCAGCGAAGCCCTCCACGAGCTGCCGGCAGTCGGTGAAGATGCGCACAGGGGGAGGCAGCCCTGGATGCCCTCGATGGCCGCTGCGAACTCTGCTGCGCCCGACTCCTGCGGGCTTGGCCAGGGCAGCGGTACGAAGAGGCTGACCGCCTCGGCGTCGGACCCCGTGACGACCACCGCCCACCCACCTCGGGCTGACACGAGGGTCGGGTCCAGGACGCTGCCATCCGTGAACAGGTCGCCCGCGAGCGGCTGCCCCACCAGGTCTGGGCGCCCCTCTTTGCGCGCATCCCTGCAGCGAGTGGGCTCGGGAGGGAGCGCCTATGCTCAGGGGCCAGCGCTCGGGGCCAGAGCGGGTCCTCGTCGCTGCTGAGGCTTGCCATCGCGACGATGGTGCCGAAGTGGATGTCGTCGGGCTGCCGCCTCTCGTCGGCGCCCTCGCTTGCCGTCCACTCTGCACGACCAAGCTCGGTCGCAGGGCACTGCCATGCAAGGTGCCGCACCGCGCCATGCGCTGGGCACCCCCTGGGACACCGCGGGGATGATGCCAGCGGCCTGTCCTCAGCGAACCTTCTGGCAACGGGCCACGAGCACCCCACCAGCGCAGTCTTGGCCGAGCTCATCTCCTTGGCCGCCTTTTTGCTCATCCTCTTGCGGTGGAGGATCCGCCGAATGCTGGTCAACGCGCCTCCTCCCGCAAGATGTTCCAGGCATGGGTGCTGCCCCACCGCCCGCCACAATAGCCGCCCGCGGCCCGCGGCTATGTGCTTGCTGAGAGTGGAGGCGCCCAGAACCCGAAAGTCCAGCTGCTGCTGCAGATCGTTGATGATGAGCCCTGGCCGCGTGGCTGTCCAACCCAGGCGGCGGCAGGCTAGCACGCATGCTGCTGCGGGCCCCCGCCCCGCCAGCGCCTCAGGGCCCTCCTTGGCGAGCATAGCGGTGGCCCCCGCGAAGGCGCTACCCGTGGCCCTCAGGCCCCTGTGGTCGGAGTTGAGCTGCGCCGCCTTGGCCCAGGCCACGATGGGGAGCGCCGCGTGGTCTAGTAGCGGGTCGCTGGCGAGCCACTTGCTGAGAAGAAAACTGAGGCTGAGGCTCTTGCCTTGCCCCCTGCCGCGGTGTACGGCACTCACCTGGCTCCTCCACTTGATGAGCTGAGAAGAGGGCCAGCCGACCACGCTCAGGCCGTAGCGTGGGGTGCACAAAGACATACTAGTACTAGATGTTCTCCTTGGAGGCGCGCGTCCGACCCAAACATATAGTATACCCATCTTGTAGTATATCGTTTCCCGAGCGGTGTGGCCAGGAAGCGCACGCCGCGACGCATATACTATAAGATTGCTCGGTGCGCGCGTCGCCCCTGGGGGGGCGACGCACATGTAGTATAAGTATGTTTGGGTGTTGCCGATAGCGAGTAGCTGGCCGCACCCCCTTGTTGGCCACTCGCGCCGCTGCTGGAGCCTCCTGCGAACGCATGGCGTGCAGCCGTTGCAGCTGGGCTGCTGCCTTCGTATGCCGCATCTCCAGAACCACGAAGGCCTGGCCGTCGAGGCAGTAGTCCACCCCCAGGATCTTGACCGACTCCGCGATGGGAAACGCCATGCCGCCCATCTGCTTGGCAACCATGGATGCCAGCACGGGCGAGCTCGCGAGAAGCTCGCTCTTCGCCCCGGAAACCTTGCAGCCTAGCGCCTCCAGCTGAGCGACCACTGCCATGGTGGCCTATGCCACGTCTGCGGCTACATGCGCCACGGGGCCATGACACCTGACACAGCAATCGCCGAACATGATCGCAAGGGTGACCCTCGGCTCCAATGCCCGCCATAGCCTCGCGTGCTCGTCGGCCAGCACGAGCAGGCCGCACTTGAGTAGCCGCCCAGCGTGCGAGCAGCCTGCGATGAGGCCCGCGCCCAGAGGGCCTCTGATACGCTGCCGTCCAGCATGAACCGCCGCTCGCCTGCGCACAAGGTGCGGGCCATGCCGAGCATCCCCCTCGGGTAGCCCGCGAGGATGCCGCGATCCTGGGTGATGGCCAGGTCGACGAGCTCGCACGCCTTCCAGAGGTTGATGAGCGCCGCCGCTGCGCCCTCGCCTCGTGCATGTGCCGCTTCCGGCCGCAGCGCTTGCCACCAGACGGCCTCCTCGGCCGCGCGCCCGCGGCCGCCCCAGAATATACCAGCGACGCCTGGGTCGATATCCGCGCCCCAACGCCGCGCCTCAGGCTGCCGAGCCCGGCTCCGCAGGCGAGGGAGCCAGCCCAGCAGCCCAATGGGCCGAAAGCCGCCCTGGGGCTTGGGCAGCATGACCACCAGCGAGTCGGTGATGACGTCGGGCCAGCCACCGAGCTCCTCGCATTTCATGCCGAAGTCGATGACGGCCTCGAGGAGCTCGTCGCTGAGGTCCGCAGCCTTCCTGGGGTTGAGGCGGTCGCTGCCGACGCCCG